GAATAGAATAGAATAGAATAACAGAGTTGGAAGGGACCTTGGAAGTCTACTTGTCCAACCCAGTGCCTAGACAGGAAACCCTACACCACTTCAGACAAATTGTTATCTAATCTCTTCTTTAAAAACTTCCAGTGTTGGAGCATTCACAATTTCTGGAGGCAAATTGTTCCATTGATTACCGTATTTTCTGGCATATAAGATGACTTTTTAGCCTATAAAAATCATTCCAAAAATTAGGGGTCATCTTATATGGCGAGTATAGCCCAAACCCTATATTTTAACAGGAAAAGTAGGGGGTCATGTTATATACCCAGTTGCCTAATACGCCGGAAAATACGTTAAACAAATCTTCTTTGGAATAACTTTAAGGTAGAAAAAAATGCTTCTCCTTACATTATGACCAGAGAAAAAGAAAAGCATAACTCCATATGTAAAATCAGCCAGCCAGGAATTACCTAAAGCCCTCTCCATTATTATTATTATTTTAATAATATCTCCATAGTAATTTCCAGTTGCTTTTTATGAACAGTATTTCCACTCCACAGTCAGTCACAATAGATGGTGTGAGTTGCAGAGAAGTTATTGTAGGTGACGTGATCTAAAGCATTCTCAGAATCACTAACGGCCCGAACCGAAGTAAATAACAGTGATGAAACAGTGCCAGTGTTACAAGTTATTTTCAAAGCAGGTTAGTAACTACGCATGCCTAATGAAATGTCTTGGGATTAAAGCTTAGCAACAGAAAGGAATAGCATAATGGAGTGCCAGAATCTAAGAACCAATGGAAAAACAAGCAGCTGAGGTGGAATTAACTGAGGGCAATTCTCCATCAAGGGCAAGCATCACTTATTTATTTACATATACCATGAATTCCCATTCAGGGGAGAAATCCTGAGAAACATACAGTGAAACAAATTTAAAATGGCTGAAAGCTGTAGTACCAATGACTCACAAAAATCCTTTTTTTTGCACATGAAATCTCACTGGCCAACTGGGGAATCAGCTACTCAACCTATTAAATTTAAATCATATATAAATAAGGGTAATCATATATATGTATATATGTATGTATGTATGTATGTATGTATGTATGTATGTATGTATGTATGTATGTATGTANATGGAACTCGGAGGAGGCCTAATCTGTGTGATCTGATAGGTCTTAGGGAGGTAATTGGCAGGAGGCGGTCTCTCAAGTACTCAGATCCACTACCAATGAATTCAAACAATATGTAATGCTTCATTTTTTAACAAACAGATCCAATAGTGAGAACATTAAATATGCTGATTATTTAAATGATAACCAGATAATAGACAAAAATCTTGTGCTACAGTTATACTGTACATTTGGTTAAAAATGTAATTGTCAATAAGCCATGAAATATCATCAGCATAATACAACAATTTGTATTCCACTCTGGCCATCTTAGTAACCAGAATACCTTCATATTGTTTGATGAAACAGTGATTTCAGTAACAATGATTTCAAAGTGAAATTAAATATTAAAAGAGAAAGTAGGCATTGTTTTACAAGTTTCATGCAACATCCTGTTCAGCAAATAAATGATGCCATTTGTGACAAATCTAGTAATAGGTTACAATATTTTTCTTACAGAGAACAATATTTAGCAACATCCACCCTAAAAATTTTAAATGAACCATATCAATGGCCTTCTCAGCATCCAATGAAATAACCATCACAAAATCTAATTTATCTGATTGGACACCAACTACGTTTATTAATCATCTCACATTATCCAAGCTGATGCCCCTTTCTTAAGACTGCATAACATAAACTATTGAAGGCAATATTACAGACTGATATCTTGAGTGCAAAATCACTTTAACAATTTTTAGCATCAACGTTTAACTTCGAGCCCTTTGTAGGATCAATGTTACATGGCTTCATGCAGGTGTCCTTGTAAACCCCTCTCCTTTGCCATTCCGAAGGTAAATATTCAGTATACAGGACACATTTTAAAGGAAAAGGTGAATTTTACAGCTATAACACCACATGACAAGAAAATAAATTAATTGGGAATGGCTGGAACTTTTGCTAAGCCATCTTGCAAAAAGAAGTCAAGGCAATAAAAGATACCATGACTTTTTAGCCTATAAAAATCATTCAAAAAATCGGGGGTTGTCTTATACGCCAGGTATACCAGTTCCAAACCGGTCTGAAGCACAGTGGAAGAACGGACTGCACCACTTCAGGACACGGATGGGGAAGNATATTCCATTAATTTTCTTGTGATGAGCTGGGCGGCAAACAAATTTAATAAAAATGTTTTCTTCAGGGACTATATAGAATATTTACAGTTTGTATCAATGTGATTATCAGTGTACAATGATGCCTTTGTTACGGAATGGGTACTTTGTGGCTTAGCTAATATTGTAAACTTGCCTCTGTGACAAAGAAAGATTCTGTTTTCATATGATAAACGTTTAAGTTCTGTTTTCTGCAGGCAATATGGTGGCTATGAGTATTCTCAGCAAGGTGGATATGTCCCTCCAGAGATGATCCCGCCTCAACAGCCATATACTGGTCAAATTTTTCAGCCAACACCAGCATATACTCCATCTTCACCACAATCGTTCTATGGAAACAATTTTGAGGATGAACCTCCGTTACTAGAAGGTTTGATTTTTATTCCTTGCAGAATTTCCATGCCAGCCAAAATACATCATCCAATAAGCAAAGGCGTAATCATAGCTGATGATGAAGTTTGTGTGCATGTATGTATGTTAATGTAAATAGCAGTTTTTAACATTTAATTTCACTTCAATTACTTAAGTGGCATGATCTCTTAAAATCAAGATTTTAAGATCTTTAGCTTAAACCAAAAGGAAAAAAACCATACGAAATTGAAATAGAATGATCTTTTATAAAGTAAGATGACTAGTGCAGCTAGTTATATACTTGGTCTCTGACCTTTGGTGATCTAAGTGGATCTCCAATTTAGTACAGAAGTGTGGACCCACTTCTATAATCCAAGGCTTCTGCAAAAAACCTGAAGATCTCTCTTGTTTCAGCAGGTGGAGGGGCAGAATGGATTATAAGCCTTTTTTCTAATACACTTTATGTTTCCGTAAGTAGTTTAGTAGTTTTTTCCTTATCTAGGTGGTTGGTCATTTTCTGTTGTCAGTTATTGTTAGTTGAACGTTCTACATTTTGTAATCCACAAGGGATGCAATTATAATTGAGAAGGACTCTTACATTTATTAATCCATTAAATCTGTGTTCTTAATTTGATCTGCAGAACTAGGAATAAATTTTGACCATATCTGGCAGAAGACTTTAACAGTACTACACCCATTAAAAGCTGCAGATGGCAACATTATGAATGAAACTGATCTGGCAGGACCTATGGTCTTCTGCCTAGCCTTTGGAGCTACCTTATTGTTGGTAAGATTTCATTACTATAGATATAGTCCTGTCAGTTTGAAAGTTACAAGTTTAAAGCAAACAGAATCAAGACTTGTTTATTTAAACATCAGTAATTTATAAAAACTGATACACAGGGTTGAATATAATTTCTATTGAAGAATGTGAATTACAGTCTTATGGTTATTATTTGGAACCTGGCCCATGATCCACAAGGTGAGAAAGACAAGAACTGTTGATGGATATTCCCATTTACTACACTCAGAATAATTTAGAACAGGGGTCCCCAACCCCCGGTTAATGGCTGGGTAATATGTAAATTATCATAAAAATATAAATTCTTCAAAATTCGGTAGGGAATTACAGTTCCCTCTCCCTTCCCTTTTTTCCCTTTTTCTTTTTTAATGGATATAGTATTTTTATATAGACTTGGGCATTAATGATACATCTCTGGGATTACTTTTATGAACAATGCTCCTTAAAAATACTTAAGTGGTGCTTCATCTGTTGCATTAAAAGAGAGAGAAAACTAGCTTGTAGGGATGCGTAGCTATCCAAAGAGGAGAGGATGCTTTGGAAGAGATGGGGCATACTTACTCCATCTATCGGTCCTTAATTATGGCATACCTCATTAAAAATAAAGCATTTTGGAGACGGCAACAGGGTTTACTAACCTTTTTGTACTTCACTGTGGTTCTTTGTTATTTTCCTGAAATCATGGTGGCCACTGTGAGCAAGCACAGGAAACAGCACCNGCTAAATAGCTTGAAATAGATCTATACTAGTCTCCCTTTATTTATTTATCAGCACAAATACAACAAAAATGTAACAAAAAGGCAACAGTAAAAATCATAAGGTTCTTTCTTAATGCTTATAAGCAAAGTTACAAGCACATTTTTCCCCTTTTAATCCTTATAAACCTCTTTCATATTATATATGAAAAAATGTGCTTGTAACTTTGCTTATAAGCATTAAGAAAGAACCTTATGATAGCAGCATCCAATCTTGGTATGCCCTCCCAAGACAAATGAGTATAGTTTTTCCTTATTCTGCTTTGGATAGACAAAAAACAAGATTTGATGGCATTGAGGTTTAAATGAAGTTAGCATTAAAGCTTAATGACATTCACAATTCAGGGAGCGGGTAGTATTTGATCCTATCTTTGTTGGATGTATGGTAAGGAGCATTTTATTGGATGTTAATTAGAATCTGGTGGGCAGAAAGAAAGCTTTATAAAGGACATAAAATGGCTTCTAACAATGTTTGCTCTCCCACTAACTGGTCATCAGTGGTACAATGAACATATCAAGAAAGCAGTCCCCAAAACATGTTTCTTTTAGTGTAAAATATAAAAATATATGCCAAGTTTACTTTTCCCGTACAATATAGACAGACTTTGATTTATAATATAGTTTAAAGGGAAGGGAACAGCACTTTCATTATCATTTGATGATTTCTCCAAATGGATTTGAGAGAATTTTGTCATTAAAAAAATCCAAGAAGAGTTAATGTTTTTATCTTGCAAGAGAGTTTCCTATGGCTAAGATAAGAATTCGTATATCATGGAGAACATTGTTTTATTTTAAATGATACAAATATATAGAATTTGTGAAATAGTGTCATTGTTCTTGAAGGCGAAGATCACTTGAGCTTAGGAAGATTTGATTGTCCTTTTGAAGCATCCTGGAACTTTTGTCTATTTTTCCATAAAATCAGTATTTGTTCATTGTCAGTGATAAAATTCATTGTTCAATATTTCATTTTTTTAATTCCTTAAAAAAACAGGTGTAAAAACATAAAACATTTTTGAGACACATATATGAATATGTTCTCATCCACATCTAATTATTTGCGGATATCTGAGTAGCAACACAAAGATAGAAAACAGATGTTTGAAAATGGTTCAACATCTTTAAGTGATTACTGCTCAATCCATGGGTGACTCATGAATAACTTTTAGAAATGACTTATTATGAATCTAGAAATGTATGATATAAGAGGTGATTTCAGTCCCAGTAGAAAAATGACATGTGAAAATTAAATTCTAATGAAGAGGGCATAAAGTCAAGAGCTTAACTTGACTATAAAACATCTTTGATAAATTACTGATCCAAATAGAATAGTCTTGATTGTTGACTGTACACTCAAGATATGTGACAAATATATTCAGTATGGCATACCTGTACACCTCTTATTCATCCCTGTTGCAATAGCAGTCTGAGATTAATAGTAATCTAAGAATAGCAAATAGAAAGTTATTTCTGCTAATTGAAGTTTGTCCCTACTGATAGTGATGTGTTACATTTATATCCTACCTTTTGTACAGCACTCAAGGCATTTATAGTGTTCTCTCTTTCATGCACACACCCTTTATAAGATCAACTGTGCTTACAGAGAATGACTGGTACCACTAAACTTCTGCAACTGAGGGTAGATTCTTCCCTGTTCTGTTTAATACCCTAACCGCTACACTATACTGAGTCCTTAGATAGGTCAGATGAACAGAGAAAGGGGCAATAATAGGGATTAGAGGGGAAGAGGGACCTGGGAGTACTCTTAATTTTCTCCCTCCCTTTCTTCCTTCCTAGAACAGTTTCAGGCCATTTGAAGAAGTTTAGGGATTAAGAGAGAGGTTGGGAATAGCTGTTTCCCAAGGCCTCCCTTTTCTATTTGTAGACAAATTAAGCTGATTTCTGCTACTCAAGTCTTAAGACTACCAATCATTGCCACAGACAGACACAGAAGCTGTTTTAAGGGGTAACTTCTTGCCCCAAAGATTTTCTTGCTGACAAAATAATAGTCACTTAAATATCATGAGACATCACCCCAAAGCAGCACTAATAGCAGGCATGATGCTAAAAATTTTAATAGAACCATATTTTTAATTGATCATCAGGTGTTTCATTTCCTTTTCTTGAGAGGTAATATTAATATTTTCTTCAAATGTTTGCTGTTATTATTTTCAAGAGTATCTCACATATCAACAGCCTCAACATACCCTGCTGAAATCCAGAGTAAAATAATCATGAAAATAACAGATTTGGTTACAGATAAAATGCATTATAATTATTGACATAATGAAGGATAAAAGACAAGACTGCTATGATTATGTATGATACATAAAATATGGCAATTTTGAACCCAAATTTTATCTTCTGACGGACAATGGAAGATTGAATAATGTATTAAGAACTGAGCAAACCAGATTACTCATGGGATGTTAAAGGCAAAATTAAAAATACCCATTATATTTTGTTACTCCAGCAAATTGTACAAACTCAAGTTCTCTAGTAACACAGGCCCTGAAGAAATTTTTAAATAACAATTCCAATTATTTCTGATCATCTGCTAGAATTAATAAATGGTAGGATTCAGCAACTAGAAGGAATTACCCGCTCTGCCTTATAGACATTTTATTTAAAGTCTTGGAACTCTCATAAACGAAAGATAAATAATTCTTCTATCTCCCACAAAACCTGCCCACTGTTATGCAAGTATTGTTAAAGTGTAATTCTGCATCCAATCAGCCTTATAAGGTTTCTGTTTCCTTGATTGTCCCTTTTGACCTCACTGTACTTCTGACTGATTGCATTTCTAACCTCCATAAATTGTACCTATAACCAGAATTGATACTAGCGGCACGGAATATCCAGCTCATTGGGTTTTCTTTTTCTTCCTTGTAATTTCTTTCTACATGCAGAAAGCTCATTGTAGTGTATATTTATTTCTAGTAATAAATATAAAGCACTGAAAACATCAGATTTGTATTTGAATATCTTATCAGAAGCGATATTATAAACTAAATGAAGTGATAATCCCAATTATCCCAATAATTATAAGTTACAGAGTGGATATTTTCACTTTTGGAGGGTTACTGGGCATATTTGGACATTTTGAGTACATGTTGTGGGTACTCACACAAATGGTCTGTAAAACATTTTCTCATTCATACTACAACAGCCATGGGAAATATTTCCCAGTGCTGTCAGCTCCAGTAATTGCGCCCTTCTGCATGATCTGGGCTAACCTTTTAGTGTTCGTTTCTGGTTATTTATTTATAACCATTTTATTCGGGGCAGGTGGATCTATTTTCAAACAAAGCATTGAACACTGACAAAAATAAGGATGAGTCCGGAGGCTGCCAACTTGCTTTACAGCATGCCAACTTCCCTTCTGCAGAAATGAAAGTAACTTCTGAAAAAGTCTAAGTCAAGGATCAGAAGCCTGCAAGTGCCATTGTTAACACTTTAGCATCCTGCAATATGGAAATGTAATGCAGAAAGAGAGCAACAGGCACAATTATACAGGGCCATAAAAACAAATGTATCTTGTCTTTTTATGTACACTGACAGCATAAGCACCAAAAAACAAATTTCTTGTGCGTTCAATCACACTCCATTCATTCTATTCCTATTTATTCCTATGCCTATTCCTATTCTATTGAATTCTATTCTATACCACAGCCTAAAAGTACCAGATATAAGATTGCAAAAATTAGGGTCTTCTTTTTCTTCTTGTTCTTTTTACCATTTCTGGTGTTGGGGAGGGGGGGGGCATCGGGGGCATCGCTAGAGATCAACAAACGTTTTTCTACATATTTGACTGCCCTCCAGATCTCAGCTTATAGCTACCAAAGCTGCGTAAAATATTTGCATAAAAAGATAAATGTATATGTGTATAAAATAAATTTGTATACACATTTTTATAGTTGTATAAAAGATCCTCTTTTTCCCTTAACATATTCGGATACCCTCGGCTTGTATATTCATATATACATATAAGCGGATGCACAAGGAAGTGCAAAGTTGTAGGGAAGAGGCTGAAGTCCTTATTATGCATATTGAACCAGTCCCGCCGCTCGTGCTTGGCATTCTCATCCCGATTGGAAGGTTTGACCATGGAGATGCGGGGAGATAGAGATAGAGAGAGAGACTGGCTTCCGCTAGGAAACGTCTGTTGCGTTCGGCCGCTTCACTTCCGCAACCCGGAAGTGGTTGCTCTTGGGTCCCTGACACGTAGCT